CTGGACTCGACCATTGGATCGTCGACTTCCAAGTTGTCACATATACTAGCTTTAATACCTTCCTAATAGTATTTTCAAAACGTGAATTGAACCGTATACATGAAAGAGCGTCCCTGTCTTATTAGCCCTGTAACGACTTTTTTATGAAACCAAGTGATGGGACGAACTAATCATGCCCCATGTTGTAAGTGCCACGCCTGTCCATAATAACAGTTGCTGTGCCACTCAGAGCTTTAAATCAAAAACTTTTTTTAAATTTATTTCTTTATAATCAGGTTACAAAGACCCATAAATACATACCTTATAGACTAACATACATAACAATATAATAAAACACTCATTACTAATTATTTACACTTATTATCTGCGACGTGGGACGTAACTTGGGTGTCCTGTAGCCGGCCTGGGAAACGTCGGTACATGACACCCTTTGGCCAGAAGTCATCCTTTATCAGAATGAACTCATCAACTTAAGATCGACAGATGTTAAGTTGGTACTCTCACCAGAAATCAATTAAAGTCCACATATTGGCGAGACTTCAACTGCTCGACCCTCAGGGTAGGGTATATATAATCCACAATATCCGTAGATTTTGTGAAGTACAAGTTCCATGTGCCTCTAATTTCGCCAGCACCTCTACAAAATCGCAAGGTAGTAATTCTCACATGCGCACATTACTGCTTGGCAGCAGATATATGTAAGTAAGGTAACAGTACTTCCCTGAATGAACTTCCCTGAATGAACTCTTTCACAAGGTTTTACCTGCTACTAACCTATTTCGAACTTTTCTTTGAAGCCTCCTCCCACTTTGACTGTCAAAACGTTGTCTCTTGTGGCTACTTAAACTAGATGAACGGAATCCTCTTAAGATTGTGTAATTCATTATAATACGTTTTTGAATAAGCATTACCATCATTAAATACTTTTAATGTGAGATTGTTACCGTAATCAAGTAGCCTTTATTTAGTTATTTTATAGTACCTATATATTTTGGCGTGTACAGATACAACATGATTCAATCCCAATCTGTAGTCTCAAAAATGCTTTTTTTGTAAGTAAGCAAATTACACTTGAAAGTATCACAGTGATTATACTCTACTGCTTATTCGTAAGCCAGAGTCCCTTGAGACGAATGAGTAAGAAACTCTGGGGGTTGCTCTTTGTAAATAAATAGTTGTACACATTCATCCTTTACAATATTTATTTCGAACATCATAGATCGAGACTTCCTGCAAGAACTAAACGGATCACTACCACGGATTTTTTTCGTTTAAGTACACAGGAGCTGTATATCTTTACCGACCTTTAATATAAGTTTTTGTTTCACTATTATTTATTACTATTAAACCTCGTTTATATATTTGTCACTTTTCCATGAAAAAATTATTTAATTCACTTTTATTTATAAAAAATACTATTTATATTATTATTTGTAGTAAAAACACACTCCCTGTATTTAAAAGTTACCGTTGTAAAAGGTATAGCCTCATAAACTGCCTGAGTCCATTACTGTGTAGCCACAAGTGTGTGGAGGCAGCATTGTTTGCACACAAAATGTGTGAAAAGCTGTAAAGGATTTCTACAAAGCACATCCGTATTGCTTTCCATACAAACATTCTGTGCGTTGACAGCTTATTCTGAATAGGGGAATTGTGTGACCTAAGGTAATATTTTTTTTAAATTAGGCATTATTTGTTGTATATAAATAGTTTGTTTTTCAAATTTATTATTTTCTTTGTCTATTTGTTACAATTATTTGATTTTTAGTTATCTATACCTAAATATATATTTTGATTGTGGTCCAATTAATGACGGGCCATGGCCAATAACAGCGACGTCTATGCAGTTATCATAGTACAGATGTTGAGCCATGGACCATGGTTATTTTATTTAAACTAGAATTTTTTTTTTAATTTTTCTTCTTCTTTCTTTAATGTTATAAAGTTATAATTTAATTTTTTTTTAATTTTTAATTGACACATTAAATAAATTATGTCGAACACAGTTAAAGGATTTCTGATATTGGAAATAAAACTATTTTTACTATCTAAATCGCGTGTATTTGCCCTTCACAAGTCTCATGGGTACGACTAACTGGCCTGTGGCCTGTAATGGACCTGCAACGTGGGTTTGTTTGGAATAGTTTTTCAATGTGTAATAAAACCGAAAACGGAAGAACTAGATTTCTGATGTTTTTTCTAATGAAAACTATTCTCAATACAATACTTTCCTATTGCATGAGGTATTTTTACTATTTCATATTGTCTCTATGCTGGGTAAAGGCCTCTGTAAACTTTCTAAAGTAATCAATCTCAGTATACATCATATCATAATGTTACGAGGCCAAACTCCTTTAAGCACCCAGTGTAAAAAAGAAATACTTTGAACAACTTGTAGAAAATATATTAACGTCTCTGTGGCTAGTCATCAAGGTATTTATAAGTTTTTTATAATATCAAGTGACGGGACTAACAAGTCGTGCGCCTGGTGGTAAGCGACACGCCTATCCATGACGGTTGCAATGCCACTCAGAGCAATAAATTGCAACGATCTGAGGGGCACCACCATTGCTTCCGTCACCCTGGGACATAAGTTGACTAGACCTATATGCCTGTAATTTCACCAGCACCCTTATCCTTGAAAACCGTAACTCAGTCATGCTCACATTACTGTTTGACCGGTTGAAATAGGTACAGTGGCAGTACTTCCCTGGACGAACTCTCTACTGCTTTTAAATATCAAGTCCATAACAAATGTCGATAAATGATTATTTCTAATTACAATATATGTCGCTATAGTTCGCATCACTTTGTTATTCATTTTTATAGAGTTGTAAACAGAAATATCAATCATCGAACGTCTTAATGTTTCAACGTCGTTTATACTTTCCAGAATAAGGCACTAGAAACAAAGATCGTAAGTCGTCTCGTGCGCAGAATCCGCATCCGGTGGGTTGCATCGTACGTGAGTACAGCCGCTAACAAATTTGTCTCTTATTCAATTTTATATAACTACAACACGTAAGAAAGCGTGCGTATAGGTAAGAAATAAGTATGACTCGATTGTTAAACACGATCACCTTAATAAAATTAAAATAACAAAAACTTAGTAGCAGTAGAGCTCCTTGTGAAAGAGTTCGCCCAGGGAAGTACTGCCACCTTAACCATTTTTGCCACTAAGCAGTAACGTGAGTATTACTGTGTTTCGGTTTTGAAGGGTAAGGGTGATGGTGAAATTACAGGCAACTTGTCAACTTATGTCTCCGGGTGACAAGCGCAGTGGCAGTGTCTCTCGGATCTTTGCGATTTAAAGCTCTGAGTGGGATTACAACTGTTACAGACAGGCGTGTAGCTTACCATCAGGCGCACTACTTGTTCTTGCTTAGAATATTGCAGCCCACCCAGCTATACATTTCAATTAAATTCCCTCTTTTTTATAATTATTATATTCTAGCCTTCGATTACGTTGTTAAATGGAGATATCTCCTAACGGGATCCCACGAACCTGCATCAGTGGGAGAGGGTGCATACTCAGATTTTTTGTGGTTAGGTCCTCCAAGTGGATCCTTGGACGAGCTTGTATCGCCAGATCGCTCAACGGAGGTGTCCCACATAACCCCGCCACGTCATCGCCCGCGGCGGGGTATGCGTAATTCATTTTCCTGTGTATAAAAAGAAAAAAAGACTATATAGACGTTGATCTACATCTGAATTATATTAGTTAATTTAAATGACTATTCATTAAAATGTTTTGGAAATCAAAACGTTTAAATACCTACGTGTGGTTAAGCTATAAATATATTTTTTGCACAAATTATTTCTCTACGACTGTACTATTAAAATTCTCCAACATACTAACCTATACCTTTGCTAAATACGGCATGCATCTGTTCAAGTAGATTACTTACTGTACTTACCTTGTACGTGAATACGTGGATAATTACTTAAACATTTCCTGCTACTGAAAGCTTGGTTGCTTTATTTTCACTTAATCAGTGTTAAGTGGCTATTAGAAAGGCAGTTTTAATTGCCATTATAAGATTTAACGATTATGCCAAAAATATGTTTAAAAGTAACGATTTTTCAAATGTTGATTTTTGTTGGACTTTTTCTCGTTGAAAACTTTTTTCAATTACATTATACGTTAAGTCTTTTACGTTTTTAGTAAAACTTTCTGTTTGTAGATTTTGAGAATATGACTAGTAGTTTTCGAACTTAGAAAACTTCATAAAATTTCTAAAAGATTCGTATCTTATTTTTTAAATAAAACAATGATTTTTGAAGACCGAAGAAGAAGATATTTTTGAAAAGGTAATGATGAAATAAAACTATTTCAAATGGAGTTTTTATATAAGAAAAGCAATACTCAAAAAGCAACCGTACCTAATCTTAGTGCTTGTCTAGGGCACAACACGCAACACGTTTTAAGCCATTGTATCCTTTGTTCATTGACTAAGTGGAACAAACATTACAATGGAAAATTTAGTGCAAAAAAACACAAAGCAAATGTTGATTATATTTTTATTGTCATTTTTACGTGGATCCATCGTAAAGGTACTAATGATCTCTTAATAAATAAATTCGTTCGTTCGGTAATAAATATGACTCAACACACACACACATACACATTGACTCGAAACAACTCAAAAACGTAACCGCAAGAAACCATATTAACTAAAAAATAAAATAAAATATCTTTGGAACTAAAACTTAAAACATATTTGGTAAAATATACATGTTATACAATATTCTATGAGAATGGAATGTAATATATGCGTATATATTACTTATAAACATACATATAAATATATAAATACATAAAGATCAAACTAAAATAAAAAAAGACTAAACAAATCAGTCTCAAACTTAAAAACAACGTAAAACAAAAATAATAACACAGTTATAGAGATAAATAAAATACTGACACTTAACACTCACAAAAACATCACACATTCAATCTCTCTTTACATAAATAATGATTCAATAAATTACGGTGGTTAAATCCAAGTAAATGGAGAATATAATATACAAGGCAAACGCAACGAAATCGAAACAAACAATTTCAGTTGCAAATAATGAGCAAAATGTACAAATAATCTACAAATTGAAATTCATTTTACGCCTGCTTGGCATGGGCTGCGTAAGCCAAGGTTTGAGGATCCTGAGACCTGCCCCACCCACCACTACTTTCCCAACCGTGGTCATCGTGGGAAGGCTCAGACCATCCATGGCTCTTTTTGGAGTCGAGGAGTTTCTTGACGGCTCCTAGAGCGGCGGCAATGAAAGCAATCTTGCCAAGAAGGTAAGCTTTGAAGACTGCAAAGGCGATAATACCAAGGAAGAGAGGAACCAGAGCAGCCAACTTCAGCTTGATCAAGGCCAAGATGGGGAGGAGCTTCTTGAGCTTCTTCTTCTTCTTGCCACGGCCTGGAATAATGATAATTTTTATTAGTATTTGTTAACCGGACGTTTCAGATTGACAGAATTTTTATCTTAGATTTAATCTTACTTTCGTAAATTTAGGCTTTCTCATGAATGCCGCAATACGTATAAAAATATACTGTTTATGAGTACTCTATGTATATCAAATTCAGTCCTTGTATTTATTTCAAGTTTATAAATTTTCCAGTGTGTTAGTAACATTTGCACTGTGTTTTATTGTTAATAAGTTTATTAGCTATTATCTGTATTTCTGTTTAATTTGCATTTTCCCATTCATTAACATTCTCTTTGCAAAAAATGTAACAGTAAAAGATTTATTGCTCCATTATCATCATGTGACTGTATTGACTTGTTGAAACAGTTTACATGGAAGCGCAGTACATTATCCGGTGATAAATTGTCTTTAACAGTCTTTTGTGTTGTTAATTGTTATGATGAGTATTCAACTTTAAATAATTGCTGAATATTTTTTACTGTAATTAATTTTCATTTCTTTCATTTTAAACATGACATTAAAGACTATTTTGAATGAATTCGTGACTAGATAAGAGTCTCTTTAGTATCAATGGTATAGGCCATCAAAAAAAAAATACATGCAGAAAGTACGACAATTACATCAACAACTTTTCACAGATCCAACGATAAACTTTCACCCCTATCAGATATCAAAGCACGTTCACCGTACCATTATATTCATAACAGTGATACAGCACATTCGTAAGAACAGGCCAAGCAAAGTACAAACCACGAATGGATTGCTATTTCCCTTGCCAAGTTTACTTAATTACAGTACATCAATTGGCACTCCAAGAGTTCAATCTTCCGTGAGCATAAGGCAGAAAATCGAGTGTACTTGTTTCCGAAGAGTACAGCTACATAAATAAAGTACCGGTGCCGTATTGTATTAAGCGGACTCTGGTACAGATTAAGTGTGGCAATGAACTTGTTCAGGGTAAGAATTTCTCGTATTACACCAATGTATTAATTAAGTATCTTACTAATATTATAATGTTACTTAATCACGCTGCAATATATAAACTAATTTACATTAAATTTACCGAAAATAATATATTCATACTGGGTGTTGTTGACGGAAACTTCCAGCACAACTTTTGCGTACGAACACATATTTAAAATAAAGATACTGAACGTTATACGCATCATTGCAATTTGTTTTTTTTTTTTGTTAATTTGAAACGAAAACAACATCAATATTCATCTTGTCTATTTTTAACCGACTTAAAAAAGAAGGAGGTTCTTAATTTAACTTTATTATTTGTGTGTATGTTACGCAGCGGATTTCTCCCGCTTTTCGTTAACCAATTTCAATAATTAATTCCACATGTTGTAATTATAGGTAATTTTCTTCGACAATTTTTGAAAACTCAGTGATATTAGTAAGTTTTCTCCACCTATATTAATGGATCATTACAGAAATTTTTATTTCAATAAACCTTTCTTACTTGTCGTTTTAGGTATAAACAAAATCTAATTTTAGTAGAAACTTAAATGAATCTTTTAGTTCACTTCAAATCTTAACGATTTTTTTAAACCTATAAACTTCTATTATTATTATCACAACAGTTTGACAATAATCGCTTCGATACTGAAATAGCATGATTTTTTTCTAAAGAAAATACGATTCCTGGTTGCCTAAATCATTACTCTGAAATATAATAGTTATGCAACTTTTCTCTTATTTTAAATTCACTTTACCAATGCGATTAAGAGATGAATTCCCTTTTTTAGATCGATTTCCGTAAATCTAAGGTTTATTATACTGAACATTACACCTACCTTCTTCTTCAATAGAATTGTCATCTTCAGATAAGGATTTGGGCATTCTTAGCTGGAGAACATGGTTGTCCAAGAAGTCTACAACATTGTCCAGAATCCTATCTTCTATTTGAACTTCCCTGACCTTTGGTTCGTCAGAGAGAGGCTCGTAGCTTCGTGCAGATCTTGATCCTCCAGTTTTGGAGAAGGCGATTCCATCAGCAAGACTTAGTTCCTTGGAGTTAGCTAGGTTTTCTGTGTACTTCAACGCTTTTTCCTGTGGAGAAAACGTAATTAGTAAATGTTCAAAGTAGTTTATTGTCTAATGGCCTATGACAGCAAGGTTTGATGATAAGACTTTTGATTCAGTACTAACACCGTTAAAAGCTACGCTACAAATATCTTCGTAGCATTGAGCTTCTATTTAATTTGATGTAGTTATACTTGTACATTTATCGCTAGAAATGCTTATATCTGCGTTATCTATTAATGTAAGTAAATTTGATAACTAACCGATAAGAATAATACGATCGTTATGTTATGGTAATCAAATATAATTATCAAAAGATTTTGATAAATTATTAAAGTTAAAGAATTGATTGCTATCGTTTCGCGGTTTATCTTTCTTCCGAATCCGATTCTTTTAATTATTCACTATCAACTTGTTTTTCCTATAATTTCCCAATCTTTCTAAACAAATGTTCCATATATTTCCAACCCAAATTCCCTATACCAAAAATTCACTGGATCAAAAACCTTTCCAAAAAGTCCTTGTTCACAGAAACACTTCACAATCACTTCACTTCACTGAAACACACCTTCAGACACAGCATGGTATCCGCCTCCATGCAATCCCGTAGTGTAGATAGGAATTTCTCCATAACACCCTCTTCCTTTAATGTGGGCATCGCCCCGGCCAGGGCGACGAGACACAAAGTGGCTATGACTCTCTTCATTTTCACTTCACTGCAGCCTCTGAACAATTGTCAAAGATGTTCGTAAGACGGACTGTTTTATTTTGTCTACCCCCTCTCAAAATTTCCATATGTCACGAACGGAGCGCAATGCCTGTATGTGTGCGAGTATGACGAAACGCAAATACCACAGAGTACGAGTATATTCTGTTGGAGAAAGCTTTTTCATTTATTTTCCATTTTCAAATATATCCAATACAATTCATGATGCCTGTATCCTTCTTTGTTTTATCAAAAAAATACGACTCGCGTCTTATTGCCAAAAGCTGCAAACATGAAGTGAGATTCGAAAATCAAGTTTTTGAATTTTTGCGTATACATCTTAGGTCGTTGAACTATTGACATACATTTTTAAATACTACATAAAAAATTGGGATACTTTCTTACATACAATAATGATTATAGTTATAATAACTTAAACAGTTGTCATTTTTTTAGTGTAATATAGATACATCAAAAGTGTCTAGGGATCAAACATTTAATTCTATGTATATACCAATTTCATTTTAAAAGTCATCTTTACTTTAATTATACACACATATCATGTGGACAAAGTAAATCACGAATACAAGCTTTCAAAATGTAAGTGCAACAATGTATTCATATTAATATTAGTTCAATCGTGAAATGCTTACATCAATTTGTTAAAAAAATTAGATTTTTTGTACAAACCACAACCTCGCAAATCAAATAGGATTAAAAGGATTGTATTACTTAGTAACGAACTTATACCTATGCAAATAAGAACCAGTCTATAACTAATTACAATTTTAAAGAAAATCTATTTTGCAGTACTCATTAACTAGAGACAACCTTATATTACTGTAATTTAGTTTTTAAAAATGTTGACATGAAGAGAGTAGTATAAGCGGCCCTACGGAGTCCTATAAGACCATTTCTTCCTCTAAATTCAAATATCCACGTCTTCTAGCAAGTATTAAAGCGTATTAACATTTATTTGCGAGGTTTGATGGAATACTTAAAGTATGTTTCTGTGACGATTATTAAGGTCAACCCATTGTTTGACCATGGCTATATTTGTCACTACTATTTGTACACGCCTACATTATTTTTCAGATCGATGATATATAGAGAATGATAGAAAGCAATTACTAGTAAGTACTTTTGTTTAACTGCAACGGAGCTTTAAAAGAGAGTAAAGTGTTGAAACTGTATGTTTTTAAAAGAAGTAAAATTTGAACCATCTGCTAAAGTTCGTTAGGAAGAGACCAGACTTATTATTGTACATTCTGCTTGAGCCGTTCAGAAACAGCTTTATGTAGATAGATAGACAGACAGATAGATAAAACGTTTATTCGGGTATACAACCACACATATGTAACAGCAAAATATGTAATATAATAAAAAAAGAAAAAACAGCAGAGTCGCAGCATTGCCTGACACTCAGTTATGTATGTATGCTGTAGCAGTACAAAAAGACTAGCGTCATTGTTTATTCAGGAGCAACGGCTAATTTTCAGCTATAACCTAGAGGGATATGTCCATGCAATAATAGCGAAAAAGACAGACTTCATTTCTCGGATAGCCGACGCGAAACGCACAACGTTTTCTCGTTCTTATTGCATGTACTTATAGACTTTTCTAGCTTAATGCCATTCCGTGTAGACAAGTGTGGCGATTGCCTTAAACACCATAATGGGAATACAATTTTTTTTAATAATACTATTAAGTGACGGGCCGAGTACACCTGATGGTAAACTACACGCCTATCCATATATATTATCAGTTACAGTGCCACTCAGAGCTTTAAATCGCAAAGATCTGAGGGGCACTGCTACTGCGCCTGTCAACCTGAGACATGAGTTGACAAGTCCTGTGTGCCTATAATTTCACCCATATAACTTGTTGGTTTAGTTTTTGTTGGCAATTTCAACAATAATTATTAAGTTGGCTACGTAAGACGCAACAACACAAAATATTGTAAAATTCCCGCGTGTGCCCCATTACAACAGTGCAGAATAAATATTTGAAGATGCCATTTTATTATTGAATCTTCACAATACCAACCTGAAACTAGTCTCCACATAAATGAACACTTTTTATACATATAACTTCTGATAATAAATATGTTGTATGACACATTTAAAATGACTGTATATAAAAGAAAGAAGAGTAATACAGTATTTTTTAAACTATAGTGTTAATTAGTACAAGTATAAAATTTCATCGAGTATCAAAGCTTCCCTTTTAGACGACTGAGCTTATTATTTGGCGGAAAGAGCTGCAAGCCTTGTGGTCACTAGAGGATTTGTTATATAAAATGTTGATTACATTGAGAAGCTTTCGTTTTTAAGTTGGTCAAATAGTTTCAAGCTTTGCTGTACAACTTTGAACATACGTTTAATGTATGGAAAAAGAAAATTAATGTAGATTATTTTTTTTTTGATAAACTTGTATCAAATTTAGGAATAATATATACAGATAATAGGTACATAAAACTTAGATAATCATTAATATACAAAAAAAGGGTTAAAAGCAAAATTATACAAAATCAATTCCGGTTTGCAAATTTTTACTCATTTATACATAGATTAATTTTTAAATAATAGCTTTCTAAAAACGTCAAAATATAATATTTAAATAAATAAATATTACACAACATCACTTACGTTGTTCCTATCCCAAAGTAAGTAACTAAAGCACTTGTGTTATGGAAATCGGAATCAACGACGATGCTACAAACACCCAGACCCGAGAGAATATAGAAAATTTTTTCTACATTGACCCATCCGGGGATCGCACCCGGGACCTCAGAAATGGCGATGTCATAAAAATGTGCGATGTGCAAGCCACTTGACCATGGAGGTCATCAAATCTTCAGAAACTTCTTTGTTTTATTAAAAAACATTCCCCAGTATACAGTTTTAGTGACGTTTTTGGGTAATATTCAGGTTATTATCTGTACCTAGTTCCGGTGTGGCAATTTTCATTATTTAAGTATTCAAGTATATTATCGTGAAATAATAAATCATATTTCAGGATACTACATTCGAATATTAAATATTAGGTACTTCATCTAGAATCATTCTAGAATATTTAAATAATAAAAAATTGCCACAGAAGTTGGGTAGAGAAAACTAACCTTTTATTGATATTTCTTCTGTAACAATTCTAGCCATGTAAAAACCAATTCTAGTATGGGTATTCTGGGAAGTACACCAGAGTAAATACCAGTAATCTGGTAATCTGAAAATGTCCCTAGTTTGAGACGGTTTAAAAAACCGGTCCGAATAATTTGTCCTTACTCGTTAAAGAAATAAAATAGGAATAAAATGTATTAAAAAAATATAAAATATTAATCAAACGATGTAATTCAGACATATCAGTAAATATATAATCTATAAACATATTGTAAGTACAAAATAATATAATAATAAGAAAAATAATAATATGTTGTTTTTTCAAACGAACCTGACTGACTGAGATGGTAAAATCATTAACCATGTCTAATGTAAATCATATGTTAATGTATATTAGCGCTTTGTAGCGCTATAAATAAAGTTATTATATTAATTGTATCTAAAATAATAATTTTATAACACCCTACATAACAAATTTCTAGTGTTGTACGCCATTTGTATGGGTTCCAAGTAATATAGTTTATAGGCAATTTAGAACCACACAGTAACCTGCGCGAAAGTTTTCTCTCACTTTGCAAGTACGCACGGGCATTAAAGGAATATAAACTGTATAATTATGGCGATAAGCAGGAAATTTGCCGTTTGTTTACATAAAAGAATTTATGTTCAACATTTGACACGTGTAATTTTGATTATCTGTCACTATTCACAAGTCTTGAATGTTTTTCCACCAACTCTTCCAATTGTTGGGAATATTTTAGAACATATTATTGCAACATTAATTTTTTCTAATGTTAATTTTTACTTGACAGGCAACATTTGTCCTCTCGTCCCGGTGGTCTGGTGGAATAAACTTTAATTGATATTTTATTTTCAAATTACAGCGAGATTTGAGCTGTAACCCAGGAACGTTATAGAAGAGGCAGCTGTCTACTCGGTCCTTCGAGCCGGATATGAACCAGCAGGGTTTTTATAGGTAGAAGAGGCAGCCACTTACATTGGTCCTTCGAAAAAAAAAGAAAGAGACTACGTGTTCAAGTATTCGAGGCAACTGCCTGTACCAATATGACGCACTAAGCAACTAAGGTATGCTGTAGCGTCTATAAACGACGCTGGTTCCTTGATAATAAAAGAATCTATCACATATTATTAAAATTATTGCACTTTTAGCAACCTTAATTCAATTCAATTGAATACTATGTTTGATATAATAACTAAATAAACACAATAAAACTAAAATGTAATATCACAGTTTGTCAGTTACTTGTTAAGTTTTATCATATCAACATTCTAGGGGTTCAACAATCGACCAAAGTGACCCGATTTTATACTAGTTTTTTTTATGCAACAGAACATTTTCCATAGATTTCATTGATAATATGACCATTGAAAAAGAATTATAAGAAGTACGAAATGCCTGACGATCGCGTATACTCAAACTATCCTCTTAAGTAAAAACGACCAAGTGATATATCGAGAACATAGTCAAGAATCTTTTTTTTTTAAATAATATTTATAAGTAACTAAGCCGAATCACAAACTTATGGCTTATAGCATATTATCTCTCGCTGATTCTGCTCATTGAACGTCTAAATTGATACGCCAAAAATTTCTACTTTGACATGGTCAATCTTAATTTTTTATTTCATTATTTGTGTTCAGTGCCCAACGAACTGAAACCTCATTATTATTTTCTTACCTTCTTTTTCATCAATGGTATCTTTGATCAATTGAAAATTATGGTTCATTTTCTCCTAATTATGTATATATAGCATTTAAGAGCTTCGTAAAAGAAGCATACAATTCAACAAAAACTCAGATTCATTACATCGTAGTGACTATAAACTTCATTCAACAACCGACAACCTGCGCACCTTTCATACGCAAAAGAATTTTGAGGGCACATG